CTTATAATCATAACTGATACTGTTTTTATAGCTTCCTAGTGGTATTCCACTGGAACCTGTCTAATGTTGTTACAGAAACTTTTTCCTTTTCTAACACCTGTATGTCCTTGCCAACCTTTAGTGCTGCTGAGATCATACCACACTGGTGGATTTTTTTTCTTTTTAAGATTTATTTATTTATTTATACAAGCACTGGGTACAGTCAGAAGCATGGGAAGGTGAGAGGATTCACCAGAGACAGAGCAGGGAACAGAACAGGCAGACTGACGAAATACACTGCTGAGGTGAGCAGCAGGTGGCAGGAGAGGTCTACGCGCCATGTGGGACCCTCACCGGTGGCCGGGGAGCAGCCGGGGATCGAACCGGCGATGCAGAGGCTGTGAGCAGCTTCACAGCCTAGCGCTCAACCGCTGCGCCATCGGGGAGGCCCCACACTGGTGGATTTTAATACTCAGCACAAGTTGATGTCCTGGGGGTTTCTGGGAAGGCCACCCTCACACTGTCATATTTTCAGCATAGTCCATCGACACCATGGATGGCTTGGTGTACTTTAATGGTCCAAAAGTTACTGTCTCAGCCAGTGTTCAGTTCTTCCCTATTCTTCTCTTTCAATGCAACAGCCCAATGTAACCAGGAGGTGGTGCTGTGGGTCAACTTTTCCCTCACATCCTACAACACAGGTGGTTTTCTGGGATTCCAGGTGAAATATGAAAAAAGCATTTGTTCCTTTTCTATTGTGTCTCAAATGAAATCTTTAAAATTAAAAATAGAGTTACTTTTAGTGAAGATGGAAATTGATGGCAACTTGAGAGCCTGCTCTAAAGTCATTAGATCTGAACTTCACACTGAACTTGAATTTGGAGAAAGGAGTGAATTGAACATTTACTTGTAACTTGCAGTTGTTAAGAAAGAGGTCAAAAATAACAACCAAACAAAATTAACAGGCAACTATAAATCAGAGACATTTTGCAGGGGAGGAGGAGGGAGAGGGATCAGAATAAGGGAGGGAAGAACACAAGGGACTATGGTGATGATGCAGGGGTGAACTGGTGGTGGGAATTTCACAGGGACTACACCTGAGAGGAGAAAGCAATTATTGCACAGAAAAGAACAATGATGTAAAATATATATAAATAAATAAATTATAAAGAAAAAAAAAAGAAGTCATGGCCTCCCTGGTGGCGCAAGGGGTTAACACGCAACCTATGAAGCTACCACAGCCACTGCAGCACGAGTTCGATCCCCTGCCAGGGAGCTATCCACATGGTGCAGCAGACCTCTCCTGACTCCCGCACTGCTCCCCTCAGTTTCCTGGGCATTCTGAGATAACGCTGACATACAGGTCTTTCTCTTGTGTATTTATAACTTCTGGTCCTTGTAGTTAGAATGTGGTCTGCTGGAATGGATTTTCTGCTCCTATTTGCATGTAAATAATGTGACCATTAAATTTCTCGCAGGGAAATTTAAAAAAAAAAGTAAATTTCCCACAGACCTTTTTAGAAATAAGATGTTGCTAGCCCAGGGGTGGGGTCCCTGCATCATCCCTAAAAGTGTCCGAGTCAATTAGCTCAGTTTATTTGAGCATGGTAGTAAGACACCCAAGGTCACAGTAACCATCTGTGGCAGGATCAAGCAAGTTAGAAAAGATGTACTGTGGACACCCTGAGGAATGTGCTCCCACCCATGCAAAAAGGGAGCTGTTGGTAGCAGGGAATCTTATAACGAGCATGATCAGTGAGACTTGATTCTTAACAGGGAGGTACCCAAGGATATCATCAACAACAGAACTATTTTTTTTCTAAGATTTATTTATTTATTTATTTATACAAGCAGTCAGAAGCACGGGAGGGTGAGAGGATTCACCAGAGCCAGAGCGGTGAACAGAACAGGCAGAGTGACGAAGTACACTGCTGAGGGGAGCAGCAGGCACAGCAGACCTCTCCTCTCCTTCTCCATGTGGGACCCTCGCTGGTGGCCGGGGATCGAACCGGCGCTGCAGAGGCTGTGGGCAGCTTCACAGCCCAGCACTCAATGGCTGTGCCACCAGGGGAGGCCCAGCAGAGCCATTTTTTTGCATAAAGCTGTGTGAAACTGTGGCTTCTGACTGAGAGTCGTGTTGACGTGACTCCTCACGCGACTATCTGTGTCTCCTAAGTTTTTATCATCAAACATGACAATTAGGAAAAACTGGAAAGTTGACTATGCTGGCTGGGTTGATTCTTTCATTGGAGGACTCCCAAGACCTGCACAATTGTAGGGAATCTACAAAACAGGTTTTTCATCACTTCTGCATGCTTTCTACTCAGTTTCTTTTTTTATTAACCCTAGGACCCAGATGTGTGCTTGAGATTTATAATTGTTTACTTGGGGAGCAAAAATCTCATATAAAACAGGAAAGGGATTTTACAAAAAAGTAATAAATATTTCTCTTCTAGGGGGAGGAGAAAGTACCTTTCTGAGCTGAGTTTTAGCTGCTATCTGGCTGAATGTCTGGTACAAAAAAAGAGTTCTCATTCATTGACCAAGGACAGGCTTTGTGCTAAGCACATTACAAGCATAACTACTTTTAATCCTTATGACACCTTGTGAAATGGGCACTGTTAATAGTTGCATTTTTTTTTTTTAGAGATATGTAAACAGACTCACAAAGGTGAAGTTCACTGGAGTTCCATGGCTAATAAATGCAGAACAGGATGTGAACCCCAAATACCAAAGTTCTTAAACACTTCCCTTAGCCTGTTCGACCTATACTTTCTCACAGCAACCAAATTTCAATCTCATTCCTTTATTTCCCTCCAAACAAAGTTAGACATTTGGGGCCTCCCTGGTGGTGCAAGAGGTTGAGCACAGCACTGTGGGGCTGTCCGCAGCCACTGCAGCTGGAGATTGATCCCCAGCTAGGGTGCTACCCACATAGCACAGAAGACCTCTGCTGTCTCGCCCGCTGCTCCCCTCAGCAGTGTATTTCAGTCAGTCTGCCTGTTCTGTCCCCACTCTGTCTCTGGTGAATCCTCTCACCACCCGCATCTCTGGCCTGTACCCCTGTTCTTCTATGCATAAAATAATAAAAATAAATCTTAAAAAAAAGTTACACAGTTGTAATTCTGGGAAGCAGGCCCTGATTTCCTCACTGAGAAATGCCTCCATACTTCTCTCTCACAGGCCATCGGATGTCACAGGAGTCCAGGGCCATGCTCCTATTTTTCAGAACGTTTCATGTGTAACGTTTCTTCTTGGAATGTGACACCACCTTTCCCTATTGTTCTCCACTTGGGACTATGTCAAAAATTATAGACAACAGGAAAAGATCTATTCAATATCCTGTCACAGTGGAAATCTCCACTCATCTTAGTGCTTAGTAAAATGAAAGTCCTATGGTAGGAAATAGTATATATACATTGGTAAAAAGTTAAGATGAACTTGGACCTGTACCTCCTGGAACTTTCACTCTGTTGTTTCCTGCTGGGGAAACAAGGCCTTAGGTGGGAGACACACCTTGGTGCTATCAATAGTTGTGGTGCTTTGCCAGTAATGGCTCACAGCAGGGAGTATGGGGTACACTGCAGAGGGCTAAGAACAGAGCTTGTGGGTCCCTGATTGTTGCGGGAAGATGCCATCATTGTCACCAGGTTATGAGTTTTAAACAAATTGAACTAAAAGTTCTTAAATTATTCCCCTCATTTCTTTTTATTGAAATCAATTATTTGAACTTGTCTCAACTAAAGCATTCTCTAACATTCAAGCGAACAGAGTGAATGATTAAACAGGTTGCCAATAGGGCAAATGTGTCCAGTGACCCAAAATAAAAGGTGACAGACTCTAATCATATTTTGAAAATTCCCCTGATCCACTGAGCTGGCACCAGCACCTTTTGTTGGTTTAATTTGCCAGCTTGGCCCCAGCTCTACCAGGTGGTATAAAGAACTAAGGCCTCTATTTTTTTTCTCCCTAGTTTTAACCCAAACTTGGATTGGCCTTGGGGTAGATCAGGAAACTGACCATTGGGATTGGTTAAGAGTAGGCCTAGGAACAACCCCCAGTTCCTAATTAAATGGCAAACCCAGTTGTCTGTGCTTAAGTAAAAATCTTAATCAATTGTTAGCAAATGTTAAAGTTTGCACTGGTTTACATTTTCAAAGGATCATTTACTACTTTGTAATTATAATTTTGTTAAATTAAAAACTTTGAAAAAATAGACAGAAGTAATCACAATGTAGATTTTTTTTTAAAGATTTATTTATTTTTTAATTTATACAAGCACTGGGTACAGTCAGAAGCATGGGAGGGTGAGAGAATTCACCAGAGACAGAGCAGGGAGCAGAACAGGCAGACTGATGAAGTACACTGCTGAGGGGAGCAGCGGGTGGCAGGAGAGGTCTGCAGGCCATGTGGGACCCTCGCTTGGAAGCCTGGGATCCAACCATCGCCGCAGAGGCAGCGGGCAGCTTCACAGCCCAGCGCTCAACCGCTGCACCACCAGGGAGGCCCCACAATGTAGATCTTTACAGGTAAAGATTATTTGTTAAAAGTGTGTCTATAATCAAAACCAATAGAGAGGGCATCCCCGGTGGTGCAGGCGGTTGAGCGCCACGCTGTGAAGCTGTCCGCAGCCTCTGCAGTGTGGGTTCGATCCCCGCTGGCTGGCAAGAATCCCACATGGTGCAGCAGACCTCTCCTGTCTCTCCCGCTGCTCCCCTCAGCAGCGTATTTCTGTCGTCTGCCTGTTCTGTTCCCCGCTCTGTCTCTGGTGAATCCTCTCATCCTCCCACACCTCTGGCCTGTACCCCAGCTCTTGTATAAAAATAAAATGTTTAAAAAAAAAAAAACCAACAAACCAATAGATTGTCTTAATTGACTGAAGTTCTTAATAACATTTTCCAGAAATGTCTTCTTAGGGTGGGATATGTAGAAGAACCACAGGCGTTCATCCTTTGAAAGACTGCCATTTTTCATGATTTGAAGAAAGTTTTAAATTCCTCAAGGGCAGGAGGGAGCTATTCTCCATGCCCTTATTTGTTCTGCCAACATTCCATCCTGCTCTTTCCTGTGCGGTGTGTGTGTGCTGTCCTTCCCTTCCCTTCTCGTCTGCGGAAAGGCTTGCTACCTTAGCATCCCTTCTTCCCTCCCTTTAATGTTTCTCTTTATCCCTCCTTTCACTTCTCTTTCTTAGGACAACTTTGCTTCTATATTCTCTGATCCATTATGATTTTATTTTAAAGTTTAATTGTCAGGATGACATTGCTTTCTTTATGATGTTGATTCCGTTGGGAATAGGGCAAAATGGCTCACTGTGTCCTCCCATGCCCCCCACGTGTGGCTCACAATCATCTTGGTACCTGGAACATCTGGGAAGGTCACCTCTGGGAGCTGTGGATCTTAAGTCACCATGGTTCATCTCCATCTTTTCCAAAATGTAATGCAAATCATTTTCAACCATTAAATAATCTCAGCACCAAAGTGTGTCAATGAGAATGCCTGAAAAACAAAACCAGAGAGGATTGCTAATTATCTTTATCATCGGTTTCCCTTGCCAGTTGTATGGAACAGAAGTGAAGTCGCAAAGTTGTAGAAGTAAATCAGAAACGAACACAACCCATGGGCAGTCTGGGTATATGTGAGGCAGTGTGTTCCTACATGTGGTTTGGAAAATTATTTTAAGGGGTGTTGGAAAGTGGGAACTGTATCATAGTGGAGCTATTTAGAAAAAGAACCCTAGATTTTGTTTAATACTGAATCAAGCAACCTTGAGGTCCACTGCACTTCCCCTCAGGAATACTGAGGTGACTTTTGGTGACATGCAATTAAAAACTATCGTACTGTAGTTAAGTCAAAATGTATTCACTGACCACAACTCATCATTAGCCACACAAATCCAGCTTCATTATACACGCTTGGTATTCAGAAAGCTACCCAGGCATTTTTGCCCTGCCCATTCATTGCCAGAACTTATCGCTTCCCACTGCCAGTCTTTGTTTCTCTCTTCTTGCTTCCCCGCTCTCCTTGCCTCCCTTCCTGCCTCACTAACTCCCTCAACAGACCCCATCTTTCCTCGTTTCTGAACAGAAAGTCTGTCTTCCTATGGCATGGCTCTCTGCCAGAAATAATGGAAATGGTGGAAAATTTTCTTGTGGTTAGAGGTGAAGCTTACAGCGAGGGGACCTTGTCCCTCACCCCTCCCCTCCAGACACCCTCCTCACAGGTATGCGTTCAGGCTGGGAGCAAAGAGTACAGACTTTGTGGCCAAAGAAGCCAAGAGATTTTTGTTGGCGCTTGCTGCCTGCTGCGTGCACCGAAAAAGCAACTAAAAACACTTTCTGGAGATCCTGGAAGAGTGAGAGAGCACCAAGCAAGCACAGTTCTTCCTCAGAGATACCTCCTGCTCACCAAAGAAAGGCCCTTAACTTCAGGAAGTTTCCTCTTCTGGACCCCCACTCCCTGCCCCAACATACACAGGGGCGCAACAGAATAAATGCCTTCATGCCTCTGGCCCCATCTGGCCCTGTTAAAACCCTGCCCCTGTGTGTTTGGGTTAGTCCATTAGAAAATTTCCAGGACTCTTGAAATGCCTGTGGGTAACCTGGAATTTCCTGAGAGACCTGGCAGCTGGGATTACTAGCCAACTTCAGGGAGCCATGCCTTCCGTGTGTGACAAAGGCATTTGTGTAAAAGTGGGTCGCAGGATCCTTGAAGCCTTACTTTCCTATAAGGGCACAAATATACCAACTATAAAAACTGTGGGCCATGCCAGAGAAGGACTCTACCTCAGCTCCTAGGCAGCGATCACTTGTCTTGGGCTCACTCCACAAGGCAGCTTTATAACATTTGTTGGGAGAGACCCACGTGACTTAGAAGGTCAACAACCGTTTTCTTAGTTCTCTTTGAGGTTGAACGGTAAAGGTCTTCTGGGGCTCCTTGGAATTCCCGAGTTCTCATGGGCAAAGACGCTAAATAGTGGTTCAGCAGTTGAGGTTCTTAATAGAGACTTAATTGACCGATCCTAGCAAACGCTAAACCCAGATTTCCCCCAAGGGAAGGCTCAGGAATGACCACCTGTGCTCCTCTTTTGAGATGGATCAGAAAGGTCACTCTTATTTAAGCCACAGCTCAAGTCCACACTTGCATACGTGGGAGCACTTTCGTGGACTACCCGCTTTCTGTTCACTTTGAGAGGCGTTAGCACATTAGCTTCTCATAGGCTACTCATTCTGTCATTTTGGATTCACTTAAAAAATATTGACTAAATATGTGTCAGATCCTTTATTAGGCAGTGGGGAAAGAAGTGAGCAGAAAGCAGAAAGCCCGGGGTCCCGGCCCCTTACAGGTATAAAATCACCAGTGAGCAGAGCACAGAGGCCCTCTGAAGCCGCCTCAGTGGGCATGGGCTGCAGAGCCTCTACCCCATTGCTGTCCTCGTCTGTCTCCCTCTAGACACAGGGACTGCAGCAGGACTGCAGCGCCCAAGCTTTGCCTCCAGCCCCTCCATTTTTGTATTTTTTGAGGGAGAAGTTTGCGAAGAGAAAAAAATCCTGCTTCCCAAAGCAGGACGTGGTGCTGGAAGCCTACTTTTGACGGCTGATTGATGATGTTCTCTTTAGGGTGAGTTTCTGCAATGCCTCCATGACTTCCTATTCTCCCTAGAAGCAAAAGAATCATGTAAATGCTATCACGGTGCTCTTCGAAAGTCACTGTTTTTCCGTTTTTCTCCTAGATACTGTAATTCACTGCATTAAGGGCGCTGGGTCCAAGGAGTTTGCTATCTCATCAAGGAAACAGCAAATACGAATGTGAGAGCCCCTGGGGGCGGGGAGAGCCGTGGGAGGCCCCCCTGGGGCTGACATGACCAGTGATTGCTTCACAAAGGAGTGACCTGGGATTTGGAGCATGAAAAAGAGATGAAATGTGACCGAGGGAGGGTATTTTCACTCCAGGAAAAGTACGGGTACAGGTGTAGAGGGCGAAGTATTCGTGGCATGTGAGGCTGCAAGGAGACCGGCCCACCTGGAGCTGAGTTTTGTTTGGATGGAAACCCAGGTCCCAAGTCCAAAAACACCACCCAGGGATCTCCATGGCTCACAGGGAACTTTCCTTGTGGAGAAAGTAACTCACGTGGCCCTTTGCCCATCACTGCCACCACCGAAAAGCAATCAGGGATAGAAATGAGGAAAAATCGGCTCATTTCCTCATCCTTTGCTTAAAGCATCAATTTTCCACAGGCGACTTTGTCCATTAAGAATTTTCCTGGGCTGAGGGGTAGGTGAATCTCTTTAACAGGAGACTCACTTGAAGGCGATTTCACATGCCTGGGTGCTGCAAGAGGTCAGACTCCATCCCCCCACCAGTGTCCCAGGCACCTCTGATGGATCAGCATGGAAAAGCAGAGCTCCCCTAATGGCCACCGTCACATGGTACATGTCTCCAAAGAAAAAGGTCCTAAACTGCCAAGAACTCAAGCCAAGAAAGACCACAGACGGACGTTTCTCTTTCAAGGTGATGTAGTAGGTACAAAGGTTTTCTGTCTGCGATTTGTGAAGCTGCTTGTGGTTGAGCTGGACTGCAAATTTGACCGGCAGCCAATGGCAAGGCAGCAGCGCTGAAAACCTGTTCTATATAGCCACACCAGCATGTGTGCATGGCATCATTTTGGACAAAGCTGGTCATCAGGAGCATCCTGTGTGAGGACAACTGCATCATAGAGTAAACACTGGGCTTAAATATCACTCCAGTCTGAGACTTTTCCAAAGAAAGCTTTCAACACGCTTCATCATGAGCATCAGACACTGCTCTATTTGTGCTGCTCGAGGTTTTCTCTTCCCCAAAGAGGCAGGGAAGTCTCTGGGGGAAATGTAGCTGATTCCTAGTTCTGGATGCCTGAGATTCATTTTCCCTTCCTCTAATGAGAGTTTAGGACAAACTGAAGCGATGAACAACTAGGGCATTTCCAACCTATGCCCCCACCTGCAAGACAGGTAACAAAACATGCCTTTCTCTCTACCTCTCTCTCACAAGTAGGGATTCCTGCTCCTCTTGTCCCTTCCCTAAACTCTGTGTCCTTACTTGCGACAGCAAGGCTTCCTTGGCAAGCTGTGCAAATCACATTTCCTAGAACGTGTCATGTGGGCTCTATGCCTTTATGCCTCCCCTCAGCCCCTGCCTGAAGTCTCTTTCCATTCTCTCTGGTTTTCTAAATCGATCCAGTTTTCAAGATGATCGCACTTATCTCTTCCTCAGAGGGACTTCCCTGCCCATCACAGTCTAGTTGAAAGTCTTGTGCCCTCTAGCTGCCCTCTTGTGCCCTCTAGCACACTTTAGTGCTGTGTGTGTGTGACCTGAATGCTCACGTCATTATTACCCTGTCATTATGATATGTAAGCAACTGCCTAACTACACCAAAAATAGAGAGGATGGGCCATGTGCTGCTCACTTGTTATGCTCTAATAGCCAACTTTATTTGTGATTAATTTTTTTAAAGATTTATTTTATTTATTTATGCATACAAGAGCTGGGGTGTAGGCCAGAGGTATGGGAGTGGTGGTGGTGAGAGAATTCACCGGAGACAGAGTGGGGAACAGAACAGGCAGATCCACTGAAATACACTGCTGAGGGGAGCAGCAGGGAGACAGGAGAGGTCTGCTGCGCCATGTGGGTAGCTCCCTGGCCGGGGATCAAATTCATGCTGCAGTGGTTGCTGATAGCTTCATAGTGCTGAGACCTAACCTCTTGCACCACTAGGGAGGCCCCCTCTTTATGATTAATTTTTAGGTACCCAATGATTCTCCAAATCATTGTAGACACATGAGTCTGATAGAATCAGCCACAAACAGAACAATACTGTCTCAGATGATGAGGGAACCTGAGTCCGCTTTATGGGTGTGATATTCCCTTTGATTTCTTACTGAGTCAGCTTAAGGCCTTGATTTCCCGCCCAGCTTTCCAAGCTGAAGAGCTGCTCAAAACAAGATGATGAACTATCAGGGAAACAAGGCCTCTGCCTGTGGCCTCTCACTCCACTATAATAGGAAAGGAGTGGAGGGTTCTGGATTTCCTCAGAATTCCTCAGGCTGAAGCCTCATCAGTACAGAGCACTTCAGAAGGGTCTCAGGCAGGACTTTCCAAAACAAAGCAATTTGTAAAGGTATAAACATGCAGACTGTTTTGGAAAATGTGAGACTCCCTGGTCATCATCAGTTTGAAATTGTTGAAGTTTTACAAGTGAGGTTAAAAGGAAGTGTTTGGTAACAAATTTCTCAAATCAAAGTAACAAGGACAAAATTATCCCAAATTTGTTACTCTGTATGACATAAGTAGGACATGTCTGATCTTTGATAAAATTCTTTTTATGCTCTCATTTTCTTTTAAAGAATAGTTTGGATAGTCTTCGATAGAGGAAATTTATTTTGTAAAAAAAAAAGAGTTAAAAAAAGAAAAGCATAAAAAGAAAAGAAAGAATAGAGTCTGGAAAGCTCGCTTCAGAACACACAGATGGCTGGTGGGTGGAAGGATGCCCACCTAACTCCAGACATGCCTCTCACAGCGCCAGCAAGACACACAGGCTTTCATCCCAACCAAACCCAAGGGCCAGCAGATGGACCATGAAGCTGAGAGGTGAGGCCAGAGATAGAGTAGACCTGTGATGAGGCCACTGCACAGCTATGAGTAGGCCTCCTAGGAAGACCACCCATCTTCCTGGCCCACTCCCTACCCACCTGCTTGCTCCACCTGCTCTTTGCAACCATCAGAAACAACGATCTCACAGCAGACTTGTCTATTTTTAATGTGCTTCAAAATTTCCCTGCCCAATGAATATCTGGTTTGTGGATTATTTTGACCCAGATATATCCATTTGCGTTTTTCCATGAGGATTCTCATTTTGTCCCTGCCTTTCCCATTTTTCTAATTCCTTTAGGTTATTCCTTTGATTATGCTGATGTTTGTCACATTTCTCCATTCACAATCATCTGTGAATTTCATTTTCAAGCCCTTTCTCACTCCCTAAGGTCGTTAATAAAGGCAGGTCTGAGTGAAATGGGAGGAAAGACCAGCTTCCCAAGGGACCCTGGAGACCACTCTTCGGAGCCAGCACAGCATCCTTCCACCAAGCACATTTTCCATGCACATGATAGGATGGGCAGCCAAGATCATCTGACTTCATTTGTGCCACGTCTACGGACCCTCTATGAACTGCCAAACTTCAAAACTCATGGACGGAACATCTGTTTGGGTCAGTTTTTCTGCTGGGTTTACACATACAAGTAAAGGGTTGTCTTTGCCTCAAGAGCCACATGGGAAATTGTTGTCAATTTAATATGTGCAAATGGAAACACAACCCCCCCTCCCCACCCTGTTGGAAATTACATTCCCTCTCTACCCGCAGCTTGTTCCGAGGACTGCCTTCATTCTTCTTTGTATTCTTGTACAGGACAAGCATCTCCTCTTTGAGAGGGTCAACAGGGAACCAGAGTCACTTCAGTCCTTCCAAATTTATTTCGACAGTGTTCTGCAAGGTATTCCTCTGCCACCACACCCCTGAATTATCATCTATAAACTGAGTTCTGCAGACCAACTGGCAAAGCCTATTCCCATGGAAGTCATAGAAATTGAGAGAGGGGTGAAATCAAGATGCTCAAGAAAGAGAAACAAAGTAGATTTTAAAATATTATTTGAGGATAGGAGAAGCCCTAGAGAGAGTTCGATGGCTGAGCTGGCTTCTGACACTAACTAGCTCTGTGGGCTTGGCTGATTGCTTAACCTGCCTGGATGAATTTTTTCAGTCTTTATATGAGATTGGAATTGGGCACCTATGGCCACTCACAGCTGTACGTCTATGATTCTATCTGAAGAGCTGGACAGAGCACACAACGAAGTGTGTCCTTCCCAATGTACGTTTTTCCTACAGAGGAAATGACTGAAAACTGAACTTCCTTAATAACTGTAGAGCTCTCTTTAAGATCTCAAAGAACTTTTCAAATCAATTTTCACTGTGGCACATTTTTTTTTTAAAGGATCATGAAACAAGAAAGGCCCAAATTCAGCCTTGGCTCCAAACCATGGAGCATACAGTTTATCTTTGTTCTTTGCATGTCAGCTTTTAAAGTACTTCCTGTTGTTGCTCCCATATTTTTTCTTCTTGGTGGCAGGGATGGAGTGTGGTGGTGTCTTTTCCTTGATACAGTTATAGGCACTTCATTCAGATGCTTATAAATGACACAAAATGTCACTTCCCACAGCTACTTTAATTAATTCAAATGCTGAATTAATTCGAATCCAGCATTTGACTTAATTAAAGCCAAGCTCCTTAGGGTGACATTCATCCATTAATTATTTAAATATTGACCACCTATTAAAATGCCAGATTTAGTGATAAAAACTGGGTACATAAAGATGAATAAGATATGGGCCTTACACTTGAAGAACTCACTCTTGGGGGGGATTAATTCAGTGGACAGATAAATGAAACATTTGCAAGAGTGGTTGTACTAGTTCTTGACAGAATGATCATAGAGCTTATAGTACAAAGTAGGATATTTTTAATTTTTTAATTTTTTAAAATTTTTAAAAGATTTATTTATTCAGGGCCTCCCCTGGTGGCGCAGCGGTTGAGTGCTGGGCTGCGAGGCTGCCCGTAGCCACGGCAGTGCCGGTTCATTCCCCAGCCGCCAGCAAGGGTCCCACACACACACAAAAAAGATTTATTTATTCATTTACACAAGAACCGGGGTATAGACCAGATGTGTGAGGGGGTGAGAGGATTTACCAGAAACAGAGCAGGGAAAAGAACAGGTAGACTGATGAAATACACTGCTGAGCGGAGCAGTGGGCACGACAGGAGAGGTCTGCTGTGTCATGTGGGACCCTCACTGGCGGGCCAGGATTGAGCCGGCGCTGCAGAGGCTGCAGACAGCTTCACAGTGTAGTGCTTAACAGCCTGCACCACCAGGGGAGGCCCACTAGGATATTTTTCAGAGGGTCACAATATTAATATGCTCATAGAAATATACAAGCCAGGTCTGTCATAGGAAAACTGGCAGATGTGGTTATCCTAACTAGAGAGGAACTGTGACTACTGATCTACTGACCCCCCCACCCCCCCACACACACTTTATGTCACCACTGAGACTGGGTCACACATCACTCAGGTAAGAACATCAGGTGATAACTGACCTGGTGATGAGTTTTGTAAAACATGCTATTCATCACTGCTTCTCTCTCCCTCCCCCCATTCCATAGGCTCCCCAGTAGAACTGGTTATCTGGACAATCAACATAATAGATATATCAGTGTTCTAGGTGTCTATTAAATGAGAGAATAACCTACCCAGTCCAAGACTTGTGCTCCTAGAAATTCTGGCCTGACCAGAATTTTTGCAGAATGCTTCACTGTAATGCCCTTAAAACACCATTCATGGAGTCAGTGGCAGGAGGCTAGATTACAGGTAAGATTATTCTTTAATAAACTTCATCCTCCTCCTCTTGCATGGTTCTACATCATACTGACTTTAATACTACACCCTCTCTTGACTTTGAGTTTCTATTATAGAAAATAATTTTTCTGCATTGTTAGTCTCAGTCCAAGGTTTTTATGCCAGGCAGTTAGGCTCAGGAATAAAAGAAATGTTGGGTTTATGTGCATTTGTAGTCAAGATTTTTTTTCCTTCTCACACCTCATTGTCAAAGATACTTAATCTCCCATAAGAGTTTACTTCTTAGTCATATTACTCAACATGTTATAAAAATAATCATACTCTACCACTCCCAGAAAACTTCTCTCCAAAATAACTGAGGCCTAGTGACCCAGAGTCCCAAAGAGGATACTAGACTAAGACTTCCATAACTTCATTGACCTTCAACTTCCATCTAGAGGTGTAGCCAAACCTTTGTGACAAAACAGAATAATGTGGGTCATGACCTACATTCTTCCACAGTTACATAATTCAGAAAAATGTCTTCAGTGCTGTAGGGACATTCACACTGTGGGTCTGACTTGGCCTGATAGCTACTATTTCAAGTACAAGAACCAAATAAACACATTGCTTTGCTGATAAATAACTACAACTTAACTTTGCTGATAAATAACTACAACTTAAAGAGTCAAATACATGCTTAGTCAGAACTTATCCTCTGCCATGACTGTTTTGAGAAAGAAGAACAGAAGCCATGTTTGAAAGGGATACACAATCAAGAACCTATTACTGGGCCTCCCCGGTGGCGCAGCGGTTGAGCACTGGGTTGCGAAGCTGCCCGCAGCATCTGCAGCACCGGTTCGATCCCCAGCTGCTCCCTGGCCATAGGAGGAAGGTCCCACATGGTGCGCAGACCTCTCCTGCCGCCCGCTGCTCCCCTCAGCAGTGTATTTTGTCAGTCTGTCTGTTCTGTTCCCCGCTCTGGCTCTGGTGAATTCTCTCACCCTCCCGCGATTCTGACTGTACCCAGTGCTTGTATAAATAAATAAATAAATGTTAAAAACAACAACAACAACAAAAAACCTATTACTGATGAAACAATGGAAAAGGGTCCTCTGGAATCAGAAAAATTACAAGTATCCAACTCTCATCCCTTCTTTTCAAGAAGCCAGCCAACATAAGACATAAGGAGAAGGATTGAGAAGTAAAATATACGGAAAGAAAATGACATTTTTTTCCCCCATCATCAACTGATGATCTTATTTCTTAAACAGAAAATTCCAGGGTTCTACAGACAAAAATGTCAGCATGAACAGAGAATAACAAATTTGCAAACTAGCCCATGGTTAGATAAAGTTATCCTTATTCACAGATAAAGACAGTGGGGAACAGAACAGGCAGGTCGGCTGAAATACACTGCTGACGGGAGCAGCAGGTGAGACAGGAGAGGTCACACAAAGAAATCAATAACATTTCTCTAGCAGCAAATTGGACATTTTAATTTTAGAAAAAAATTAGAAAACATAATTTTAGAAGAAAATCAAATGTACAAAAGCAAGAAAAATTATAAGGTAAATATACCAAAAAAATTATAAGGTAAATATACCAAAAAAATTATAAGGTAAATATACCAAAAAATTATGGACAGACCTTCATGGAAAGTATTACAAAATATTTTTAAAATATGAACGATCTAAATAAAGCGATAGGCCACACAGTAGGGAATAATAACTCTGCTCAAATCTATCTATAAATTCAATACCACTCCAAACACTATCTTGACACTTTGTGAAAATGTAAAATTCATGACTGATGGGTCAAAAACAGTCAAGACAGGCAGAGTTGAGAAGAGTAGAGTTTCACTAAAAGCAAATATTAAATGAATATATCAATGTCAAGCCAAACATGAAAGAATTACTGAAGGAGCTAATATAAAGCAAGGAAAAATAAATACAGAGGTAACAGATATCAAAATAATATAACATAAAAGAGGAGGAAAATAAACATCAATAGAAATAACACATAATCAATGGAAATGGAAACGAAAGAAAACATAAAAGGAAGGTGTTAAAAAGATAAACTACAAAAAGAAAAAGCAAGAGAAATCCCAAATACACAACTTAATATTACACTTAAAGAAATTTGAAAAAGAATCAGCAAGACATAAAGTTAGTAGAAGGAAGAAAATAAGAGCAGAAATAAATTACATATAAATAAATAATATATTAAAGCTCAATGAAACTAAGAGATAAACAAATTGATTAACCTCTAGTTGGGTGAGGAATGGAGAGAGAAAACATTAATATAAACACAATTAGAGGGCCTCCCCTGGTGGCGCAGCAGTTGAGTGCTGGGCTGCGAAGCTGCCCGCAGCCTCTGCAGCGCAGGTTCGATCCCCAGCCACAGGCGAGGGTCCCACATGGCGTGCAGCCCTCTCCTGCAGCGCCCCCTGCTTTCCTCAGCAGTGTATTTCATCAGTCTGCCTGTTCTGCTCCCCACTCTGGCTAGGGTGAATTCTCTCACCCTCCTGCGCTTCTGACTGTACCCAGTGCTTGTATAACTAAAATAAATAAATCCTTAAAAAAAATTAAAAAAAAAACAGAAAAAAAAATAAACACAATTAGAAATGAAAGAGGAGAAATTACACAGCTGGCACAGAAATACAAATTATCTTTAGAGATTACTGTAAACAACTGTACACTAATAGATACAATGACACTGAAGAAATGGACAAGTCATGAAGAAATAGAGGAGCTGAATAAATTGATCACAATCATGGGAGTTAAAACAGAAATAAAAAATCTCCCAAACAAGCCCATGGTTAGATAAACTTATCTTTATCTAACAGATAAAGACAGAGTAGGGAACAGAACAGGCAGATCTACTGAAATACACTGTGAAGGGAGCAGTAGGTGAGTCAGGAGAGGTCTGCTGTGCCATGTGGGTTGTTAGCTCCCTGGCTGGGGATTGAACTCATGCTGCAGTGGCTGCTGATAACTTCTCAGTGCTGAGACTTAACCCCTTGAGCCACCAGGGAGGCCTTTCTCAAATTATTTCTAAAAATCCAAGAAGAGGATGTGCTCCCAAATATATGTTATGATGCCAATATTACCTTAGTACCAGGGCCAGAAAAAGACAGCACAGGAAAACTACAGACCAATATCACTGATAAATATTGATACAAAAATCTTTCACAATATAGTAGCAAATTAAAATTTAGCGATATTTTATAAGGATTATACATCATGATCAAAAGGGATTTTTGCCCCCAGGGATGCAAGGATTATTTAATACACATAAGTCAATCAATATAATACCTCAATAAAAGAAGAGATAAATATCATAAATATCAATAGATGCAGAGGAAGCATTTGTTAAGATTCAACATCCATTCATAACAAAAACTCTAAATAAGATGGGACCTACATTAATATAATAAAGGCCATATATTATAAATTTATAGTCAATATAATACTTAAAGGTAAAAAACTTACAGCTTTCCCTTTAAGATCAGGAACAAGACAAGGATGTCCACTGTTACCACTTCTGTTTAATGATATATTAGAGATTTTAGCTAGGGCAATTAGATGACAATAGGAAATAAAAGAAATCCAGGCTGTAAAAGAAGGAAAATTATCATTGACAAATTGTGGCCTCTCTACCATTTAGGGCCTCTGCACCTGTGTGTGTATGGTCTCTCCATGTAACTGAGTGTGTGTGAAGGATTTGGATAAGGCACTCCTGCATGACTGCCTTAAGACAATGGCCCACATCACAAGGCAGCTGGGGATGCCTAGGTAGCCAGTTGGCTGACTGTGTGGCCATGGTCTGAGGTGGTCTGGGAGTAGCTCAGAAATTACACCAAGGAAGTCGCCCCTGTTTACGTGGCTGACATGTCCCCCCTGTTTCCCCTAAAGTTGATTACCCTTTGTCTCCCCTGCTTGTTCATTACTGCTAATAAATAGCAAGAGTCTGGCCTTGCAAACCTGCTCCATGACTTGTCCCTCAGCATGTTCCCAGGGATATCCTGGCATGTTCCCAACCACCAGAACAAATGATATAATACTTAATATAGAAAACCTTAAAGACTCCTCCAAAACATTATTAGAAACAGTAAATGAACACAGCAAAGTGGCAGGTTTCAAAATCAGCACATAAGAATCTGTTGGCTTTTATATACAATGAACAAAAAGAAAAATTAAGAAAATAATTCCATTTATAATTGCTTCGAAAAGTATCAAATACTGGGCCTCCCTAGGGGTTAAATCTACAGGCCTAGGGGTTATGTATCAATGCTACCACCTCGATGGTCTGAGTTGGATCCCTGGCCAGGGAGCTAACCCTCATAGGTGCAGCAGACGTCTCCTGTTTTGCCCACTGCTCCCCTCAGTAGATATGCCTGTTGTGCTCCCCACTCTGTTTCTGGTGAATCTGCTTACCCCCTGTACTTCTGGCGTGCACCCCAGTTCTTCTATGCAAAATTAAATAAATAAAATCTTTAAAAAAAATTCTTCAAATACCGAGAAATTATTCTAGCCAAGAAGGTGAAGGACTATATGGTGAAAACTACAGGGTTTTATTAAAGGAAATAGATCATGATACAGGAAGATGGAAAGACATTTCATGTTCACAGATGGGGAGATAAATATAGTCAAAATAACTGTTCTACCAAAAAAGTTATATATAAATTTAATACAATTCCTTTAAAATGCTAACAATACTCTTCAAAGTAATTAACAAAAGATATTAAAATTTACATGGCACAATGAAAGGCCTGAATAGCAAAAGTAATCCTGAGAAAAAAGAGAAATTAAGGTAGCATGTAAATGGGCTTTAATATATACTATAAAGCAATAATAGCTAAAACAATATGGCTTTGGGGGCCTCCCTGGTGGCACAAGGGGTTAAGACACAGCCTGTGAAGCTGTCCGCAGCCACTGCAGCACAGAATTCAATCTCCGGCCAGGGAGCTGAAATACATGGTGCAGCAGACCTCTCCTGACTCACCTGCTGCTCCCCTCGGCAGTGTATTTCAGTCAACCTGCCGGGTCTGTTCCCCACTCTGTCTCTGGTGAATCCTCTTACCCCCCCCCCAACACCTCTGGCCTGTACCCTAGTTCTTGCATAAATAAATAAATCTTTAAAAAAAACAACATGGCTTTGGAATAAACCCATGGATAATAGATAAATGCACCAATGGAACTGAATCTAAACTCCAGAAATAAATCCATGTAAATTTAATTTATGATAAAGAAGCCATAACCATAGAAGGGGAAAGGAGTGTTTCTTTAACAAATAGTGCTGGAAACACTGGTCACGCGTATAAGAATGACAATGATCACATTCTATTTACAAAAATAAATTCTAAGTAGAAGACATACACACACACACACATATACATACATATGCACATATTAAATAACCTGCAGTAATAAAATACATAGCAGAAAACACTGGCAATATGTTTCATGGCATCAACGATAAAAATATCTTTGGAGATTTGAACTCTACAAGGGAAATGAAAGAAAAAATAAACACTTGGGGTTACCTCAAATTAAAAATCTTTTACACAGGGAAAGAAAATATCAGCATTCTACTGAATGGAAGAAAATATTCACATACTACACAACAAAAATAAATGAATAAAATCTTTAAAAAAAAATCTTTACATACCGAGGAATTAACCTAGCCAAGAAGGTGAAGAACTTCATGGTGAAAACTACATATAGTTTTTTTTTTTTAAATAAACATTTGTGCTTTATTTATTTATTTATTTTAATTTATACAAGCACTGGGTACAGTCAGAAGCGTGGGAGGGTGAGAGAATTCACCAGAGCCAGAGCGGGGAGCAGAGCAGGCAGAAGGACTGAAGTACACTGCTGAGGGGAGCAGCGGGCGGCAGGAGAGGTCTGCGCGCCATCTGGGACCCTCTGCCAGTGGCCGGGGAGCAGCTGGGGATCGAACCAGCGCTGCAGAGGCTGCAGGCAGCTTCGCAACCCAGCGCTCAACCGCTGCGCCACCGGGGAGGCCCAACATATAGTTTTTAATAACACTATAAAGTTGCTATCTAAGCTATTCAAAAAATGCATTGAATTTAACAATAAAAAAACCCTAACTATTAGCTGGGCAATGAATCTGAACTGACAATTCACCAAAGAGGATGTCTAAAAGGCCAGCAGATACATGGGGGAAAGTTCATCATGCTTTTAATAAAGGAGATGCAAGTCAAAACTACAATGAGATAACATCATATAACTGTGAGAACCGCACAGGTTATAAAGACCCCCAAACGACAAGTGCTGGAGAGGCAGAGAAGAAAGAGAAACACCATTACACTGTTGGTGTTTCTGGTGAGAATGTAAATTGGTACATCCATTTTGGAAAGTGATAGACTTATTACTTTAACAAACTAAAAAAACAGTAATACCACATGACCCAACAATCCCACTCTTGGGCATCTATCTGAAGAACATAAAACCATGAAATGAAAAAAAATATATGTACTACAATGTTCATTGCAGTATTATTATTATTTTTAAAGATCTATTTATTTATGAATACAAGAACTGGGGTACAGGCCAGATGCGCAGTGGGTGAGAGAATTCACCAGAGACTGAGTAGGGAACAGAACAGGCAGATTGTCTGAAATACACTGCCGAGGGGAGCAGCAGGCGAGACAGGAGAGGTCTGCAGCACCATGTGGGTAGCTCCCTGGCTGGGGATTGAACTCATGCTGCAGACCCTGTGGATAGCTTCATAGTGCTGAGAGTTTCATAGTGCTCCCCTTGCGCCACCAGGGAGGTCCTGCAGTATTATTTATAATAACTTGGACATGGAAGTAACCTAAACGCCCTCAAATAGTGGATTAGATCAAGAAGATGTGGTATATCCACACAATGGAATATTACTGAGCCACGGGAAAGATGAAATGTTGCATTTATAGTAAAATGGTAGGGGTTCGAGGGAATTACACATGGTTAAAAAAGTCAAATGACAAAGACAAATATTGGACATTTAAAAAGTAGATAATTTTATAAAGCAAAGTACTTATCAAAAAACTTAGCAATACTAATAAATGAAGTGAGGTTTCTGAGGTTGGGGGTGGCATAAAGCGTCAAAGTGGTATAAGGGATGATGGTAGGAAAAAAAAGATAAAATTGTTTTTGATAAACTGGAACATATATTTACAAAGATAAATTATTCCAGAGTTCAAATTTTGTCCAGTTTTATAACTCTTTTATAGTTTCATAACTTATATTGTATTTGACAAGTTGTATCTTCTTTTAAAATACCAATGAACTCAGACATAGAACATATAAACATCTTTTTGAAAAGATCTTTTTTTGCTTGTCCAGGAAATCTGCATGAAGCTCTGGCCTTGTTTATCCTAAAACTTGTTCTTGACATTCTTAATTACCAACTCAGTTTTATCATTATGAATAATCTAGAAATGATTTACTTATTAAAATTAATACTGCAAATACCATTCCACTACAGCTATGCAAGCTATTTATTAAAGATTTTTAATTTCAGAGACTTGACCTACTTTCATGTAAAAAAAGCAAAAATTGAATTAGTATCCAAAATATACAAAGATATCCTTCAAATCAATAACCAGAACAAAAAATAAAAAAAACATGAGCAATGGATATGAACAGGAAATTTATAAAGAAGAAACCTGAATAGCCAATAAATACATGAAAATATCAAGAAAATATTATTTCAGACCCATCAGATGGGAAAAAATTTAAAAGTCTTACAACATGCTGGGAAGGATGTGGGAAAACAAGACGTCATATAGTACTGGTGAGAGTATAAATATCTACAAGACCTTTGGAAAGCAATTTCACATTATCTAGAAAAGCCGAAATAAATATACCTGATTATGAAGTAATTTTGCTTCCAGGTAAATTACCTTTGAGAAACTTTCATGCTTGTGATCAAGGAATCTTCTACACAGTTGGTTGCTGCAATGTTACTTTTAATAGCAAAATGTCGGAAACCATCTAAAAAGCCTAATAGAGGTGTCCTGAGCCCAATTTCCAGTCTGGGTATATGTGGAGGTCTCCCCACACCAACAAACAATTTTTGGGTACAGCAAGGTGTCTGAAAATTCAACTCATTTCAATCCAATTCTGATATTCTCTACCTGAAGATAGCATCAGATCCTAAAGGTAAAAGGGCTGTCTCCCACGACTGGGCTCCACTTCAAATGCTAGTGGCAAACTTAGGTTGTTATCCATGCTTCTGAATCATTGGTTAAACAAATTAGAGGTTCCCAGGACCCCCTCGGGTTTGATTGATTTGCTAGAGCAGCTCACAGAACTCAGAAAACCCTTTTACTCACTAGAACACTGATTACAAAGGATGTAACTCAGAACAGTCAGATGGAAGAGATGCATAGGGCCAAGACATGGGCAAAGGGCACTGAGTTTCCATGCCCTCTCTAGGCATTCTACCTTCACAGAATCTCTACAAATTCACCAATCTGTAAGGTCACTGAACCCCATCCTTTCGGGGTTTTATGGAGGCTTCATTGCATGATTGATTAAATCACTGCCATTGGCAATTGAACTCAATCTCCAGCTGCTATCCCTTCTTAGGCAATCTGGGGGTAGGACGAGAGTTCCAAACTTCTAATCACATGGTTGGTTCTCCTGGCAACCAGTTCCCCTTCTTAGGTGCTTTCAACAGCCAGATCATTAACATTATAAAA